ATTTCGTTTTTCTTTTTTTTTTTAAAAAAAAAAAAAAAAATACTTGCAATGCAAGTTCGGTGACGTGACTCGTGAAGCTGAAGTGGAAGTGAGACTTGATACACAAGTCATCCCTATGAGAGCAAGTCTCAAGTATCTTGGGTCAATAATCCAAGGTAATGGGATTGACAAGGATGTCACACATCGTATTGGAGCCGGGCGGATGAAATGGAGGCTCGCATCCCGTGTCTTGTATGATAAGAATGTGCCAAGACTTAGAGGTAAGTTCTATAGAGTGGTTGTTAGGTCGACTATGTTGTATGGGGCGGAGTGATGGCCAGTCAAGAACTCGCATGTCTAGAAGTCGAAAGTAGCGGAAATGAGGATGCTGAGATAAATGTGTGGGCATACTTGGAGAAATAAAGATTAGGATATTCAAGACACGATGGGAGTGGCTCCTATGGTGGACAAGATGCGGGAAGTGAGGCTAAGATGGTTCGGGCATGAAGAGGAAGTGCTCAGATGTCCCAATGAGAACGTGTGAGAGGTCGGCCATGATGGGTCTGAGGAGAGGTTGAGGTAGGCAAAAAAAGCATTGGGAAGAGGTGATAAAGCATGACATGACACATCTGTAACTTACTAAGAACATGACTCTTGATAGGATGGGGGTCGAGAATTAGAGTAGAAGGTTAGTAGATAATCGAGCTTTTCCTTTTTCATAACTGTAGTATCATCATTATTCGCGGATTTTCAGATCTCTATTACTACCATTTGTCTCTTTTGCTTCGCTTATCTTATTACCATATTGTTGTTACTGATTTTTGCTATTGCTTCTTTTTTCATGGTTTCCCTGTTACTGTATTTCTTTTCAACTATGTTGTGACTAAACTTTTTCTTAGCCTATCGGAAATCACCTCTCTACCTACACAAGGGAGGGATAAGGTCTACATACACCCAAGAATCCACTTATGGAATTACACTGGATTTATTATATAATTACCAAAGCAAATGGGAAGCATATTATAACTCTTAACATAATGATTAAAGCTAGGGAAAATTTGCATTTTTTATTTACTACTCCCTCTGTCCCAATTTATGTGGCACACTTCCTTTTTTGGGTTGTCCCAAAAAGAACGTCTTCCTATATACAAAAATAATTTAACTTTAAACTTCTCAGTTCCCTTAATTAGATGATTTATAGCAACACAGATGCCCATTACTTGTTTTAGACCACGAATTTCAGAAGTTTTTTCTTTCTTTCTTAAACTTCGTCCCAGCCAAAGAAGTCACATACAATGGGACGGGGGGAATACTACTTATCTCAAGCATAAATGAAAATGTCATTTTAAACTGCAAGATGTAATGCAACCGTAAAAAGCTGAAGAAATGGGAAATAACAAAAAATTGGAAATTAATTCAAGTTACCAGCAAAAGGATGAGTCTTGGCAAAATCAAAGAACTCATCAGCAGAGCAACCAAACAAAACCCTAGCCGCTCTATCAAACATTATCACCACAACCACCTTTTTGTCTGTAGCAATAGACATCTGCAAAAATAAACCAAAAATTCAACCCAAAAAAAAAAAACCTAAAATTCATTCCACAGGCTTCAGGCATATTCAGAATCGTTTAAGTTCTATGCAATAACATTGTAAAATTTATTTAAACAATCAGGTCACTTATAAGGTGATAAACATTAACTGATTACCTAGTAAATTTGATAAGTAACCTGTTAACAACATCATACACTGGTACTGTAAAAAAAAATCTTTACACTGTCAGCACTCAGCACATATACTCAATCAGGTTACATGTAAGGTAAACAATTAAACTAAAAAAAAGGATGAAACTGCACATAAGGACACAAAAAAGAATGAAATTACATACAAGGACACGAAAGAGGCGTTTGGAACCAGAAGGGGCAGGGTTGAAGAAGCCATTATTGTTAAAGTTGCAGTATTTGCAAATGGGAATTGAAGAATTGGGAAAATGGGTATTGGGAGAAGGGTCAGGGAGGGTTTTTTCACAAACTGAGCAGACTGTGTAGTAAAGGTTGTTGTGATCAATGGCTACAACCATGCAATTTATTGTTGCTGGTTTGTCTATTTCTGCAAATGTTCTTTTTGTGGGATTTGTTTGGTTATTGGAGGTTTCAGGATTCATTGCCGCTGAGAATTTTTCTCCGTCAGAATGTTGTTTGTTCGAATGGGTAGTGGAAGGTGAAAGCTGCTGTTGAGTAAATAGTTGAATCTGGAATGCCGTGTCAGGGACTTTTCCGGATTCGAAAGTTGCCTCAACAACCGCGATTATAGTTGCATTTACGCATTGCGATTTATTAGTTGCATTCAGAGATTGAGATTTATAAGCTGCATTCCGGAATTGCAACTTATAGATCGACTGTGATGCCAACTATAACAACAAAATTCCTACAAATGAGATCTTGAGAGAGTATGATGTATGCAACTTTATCCCGGCTTTAGTAAGTTATTTCAAATAGATTATCGGCTAAAGAAAATATGGAAAGAAGCAGTTGCACAACGACAAGATAGCAATTAAACAATTAAGCATGGATACTAATAGCAATCTAAGAATAAAAAGATATCATACTAACATTAATGTCATCGAACTAAGGAAGACAAACGGAAATACTTATTAACCTTCTACCCTAATCATCGACATCTGCACCCTCTTATTAAGGGTTATGTCCTCAGTAAGATCCAATTGCGACATGTCCTGGCTAATCACCTCTCCCCAAGTCTTCTTTGGTCTACCTCTATCCCTCCTCATACCCACTAAGTTTAACCTCTCATATCTCCTAACCCGATACATTTGTACTTCTCTTTTTAACATGCCTGAATCATCTTAGCCTCGCCTCCCGCATTTTATCGTCCAACGGAACCACTCCTACCTTTTCCCGAATAACTTTATTCATAATCTTATCTAACCTAGTATGTTTATATGTAGTACACCCCATGTTTTCGTATGTGAAAGTACGCCATAAGTAAATTGATATAAGCTCGGAAATGAGATGTTACATCATACGCTAAAGTTTCATCATAAGTTAATCGACGTAAGCTCGGGAATGAGATTATTTGGAGGTTATAAGTATTATGCTATTTCAAACAAGTGATAAGTAAATTCGTGAAGGTGAGAGAGTAAGCAAATCGAAGAAAATGAGTTTCGTCGAAGTTTGTCATTTTGAGATAAAATACGGTCCGAGCTATAATACCCGATATTTATGGACTAGTACCATGCAAAATACCACATGACCATGATAGTAAGGTATATAAAGTGTGTTAAAGGTGAGTAGTATTTTAAGTAATTTGGGATAATTCTTAATTATGTGGATAATTAGGTAATTATTGATTTTTAGTTGGAGATTAAATAATTAATTAAAATCTTTGGATAAGTTAAAGAACCTCACGTGGCAGCTTTTGCCTTAGGAAAATTGTGACTCTTACATTCATTAAAATAGGGGGCATAATCAAAATGGGACTTTGAGAGAAGGGATAGCCGGCGGTAGTAGTGTTTAAAGTGAGGAAACATAGGAGTTATTTTAATTCCTTCCATTCACTTTAAATTTAAGGGATATCTTTTGAAGAAGGGCGATATTGTATTTTCTCGTGTGATCATCGAAAACTAAGAGCAAATTCGTATCTCTCTGCGGATTTCAACAACAGCGAGCCATAAAGTATTGAGATACTATTCGTGATGACGGAGCTAGTAGCTGACGAGTTCGTATGAGCATTCGAGGTTAGATGTTTATCAAAGGGATTTACTAGTCGTAGTCATCAAAAGATGAAATTGAGGTATGCTAAGGATATCCCTTCTTTCTTTTAGGCATGATCCAAATGATACAAACGAAACGAGCAAAACACGTAATTTCCATACATGACTCTATTCATAGAAATGCTAGAGATGCTTATGTTCTTAATTCCCCGTGTATTCTATTATTCTATCATCTGTTCATAAGTCTCAGAAAATACATAAGTTGATAAAGTTTATTTCATGATATTAATCAGAGGCATAATGGTCTTATGACGTACCGAGAGATCTTATTAACATATTTCATATGCATTTCATTCATTTATACATGTACATTGACCCATGACCATATGGCGTTATATATGCGCATATTATATGTATATGGGATATGGAAAAAGGTTACGGCGTTATATACGCACCACCACCTGATCAGCTGGTATACGTTGATGATTTGCCCATAGTGGCTGAGATGATATGATGAGATGCCCTCAGAGGCTTGATAATGTTATAAACGCATATACCTAAGCATGTTATTACATATATACGCATATGCATGACGTTGTAAATATTAATGATTCATAGAGTTATTCGGACTTACATGTCGAGTCTTTTACTTCATGTTTCTCTCATGTCTATTATTTACTGATTTTTATTCCTTACATAATCGGTACATTATTTGTATCGACGTCCCTTTTGCCTGGGGACGCTGTGTTTCATGTCCGTAGGTCCCGATAGACAGGTCGAGAGTCCTCCAAGTAGGCTATCAGCTCAACGGAATGTGTTGGTGCGCTCCATTTGCTCCGAAGTTGCTATTTGGTCAGTATGATTAAGATATGTATTGATTAGTATGGCGGGTCTCTGTCCCGACCTTTATGGCAATTATGTATTCTTAGAGGCTTATAGACAAATGTCATGTATATGAAAGATTGTATGGCCTTATCGGCCTATGTTCAGTATACGAGTGATCACTTTGGTCTTATAGGCAGTATGTCTCATGTATAAGTTGAAATTATATGTTTTATTCTAGTTATCTCACGACAGTCTTTCCGTCTCATTTTCCTATGATAGTATGATACGAAAAGATATGTTATGTTGGTACTCGGTTGAGTAAGATACCGGGTGCCCGTCGCGGCCCATCGGTTTGGGTCGTGACAATATGTTCATCTCATGATCCTCATTTCAGTTGCTTTATTTTCTGGACATAAAAGTTCTTGATTGGCCAACACTCTGCCGCACACAAAATAGTCAGTCTAACCACTATTTTGTAAAACTTACTTTCAAGTTTCAGTGGCCTATTTTTATCACACAGGAAGCGAGCCTCCACTTCATCCACCATGCTCCGATACGATGTGTGACATCCTCATCAATCTTCCAATTACCTTGTATTACTGACCCAAGGTACTAGTATGACTTGTGTATCAAGCATCACATCTATGTCCGCTTTTGGGTAATGTTGTTGAACTTATACTCCATGTATTCTGCCTTGGTCCTACTCAACTTGAAGCCTATAAACTCAAGAGTGTGTCTCCAGACCTCCAGCCTCTCGTTAACATCACCTCGCATCTCGCCAATCATACTTATGTCATCTACAAATAACATACATCATAGAACCTCACCATCTACATATAAATACAAGTGGCATTTAGATTTATATGTCCATTTATAAATTGTGAATTATAAACGCACTTCTCACTTTATAAATATTTTTTAAAATGCAGTTTTTGCATAGTTTTGAAGCCAAAAATTCCATATTTTGGAAGAAAAGTTGGGTAAGGAAAATAAGAAAATTTGTATTTCACGAAAAAAAATTCATTATTGATCCCGTTATAATTTGGTATCTACGTGGCAATCCAACTGGGTTAAATTTGTTGACGCGATCGTCCACCTACGCAGCCCAAATATGGAAGATTCCCTTCCTTTTATGTTTTGTTCTTCGTTGTTGAACCATAATTACAAAAAAAGAATTCAGAAAATTGAAATACACCAAAAATAATTCTTCCATTATTCTTATTTAAGTTGCTCTCCGGACTTTGAAACTCCAATTTTGCAGTGTGCAGAAGATTGTTTGAAGTTGTACTTGTGTGTTGAAGGATCGAGCTCATTGATTGGGTTTTAGGGTCAACAGATATGAGGTTCAAATTTTAATTCAAATGGTTGAATGTTGTTGGAAAACTTGTGTTTGTGTGTCGAAATTCGAAAATAGTTGCTGATTTAAAACCTTCTGGGTGAAATTCTTTTAGCTGTTGTTGGGTTATTGAAGTGCAGAAATTTTCAAATTTTAAGAGTTTTAATTGTATGTTATTTTAAATTGCTTGGATATTGCAATTGAAACTGAAAATTGAACTTTAACAACTAATTTCTTGATTTAAAGATCTGAATTTAAACCCCCCGTGCCCCCCCCCTCCTCCC